ACGAAGGCTGGACATATGAGATTTACTCACGATCTTCTGGGCTCCAAAAGGCTTGGGTCATTTCCACTTCTCTGGGTCTGCCATGCACAACACACACACAGCTTGTCTGACAGGTTCAGGCTGGCTCCACTACAGACCCGCTACTGGCCTTTGTGGTTGTCTCATGGTCCTGGCATCTCCAATATGCTTGGGTCTCTAACTGAAACTGAGGCTGAACCTTCACCAACGAGCTTTAAAGCTTCAGATTCTCTCCATGACCCCTTCAATCCTGGGGTCTTCATGGCAACTGAAGCTTCACTTTCACCAATGGCCTTTCCTGGCCTCTCAGGGTGCCAAGCCTCAGCTACTCTCTGTGACCCCTTCACACTTTCGATACCAGAATGATGAGACTCTTACAACTCTTACACATTACCAAGTTCTGCTTCCAGCTTGAGATGGAGGCTCGGGCTCTCTGAACCACAGCTTCTGTGCGCTGACCCTGAGGAAATACTTCCCAGAAGATTTTGTCACAGTGATGCTTGGTGTCATGTTACCCACAGCTGATTCTTCAGCAACAGCTGTACTATGACCTGGGAGATGTGAGCCAAATAAATTCTTTCCACCCCAAGTTGGTATTGGTCGAAGTACTTTGTCACAATTGGCAATTGAAAGCAAACTAAGGCATAAATTGGTACCAGAGAGTGGGCTATTGTGACAGATCTGACCCAGTGGTTTGGGGGAGGACTGCAGAAGCATTTGGACCTTTGGAGGGGAAAAGCCATTGAGTCCTAAGAGCTTAGTGGAGCTGCTGCTGTGGAGCTTGGGACAGTTCTGCTGAAAGAGTAGATGATGGAGGCCTGGCTTGTGAAGCTTCAGAGGGAAGATTATCAGGGCTGTTTGCGTGATATTTTGAATTGAGAACTTACACACTACAGGACTACCTGCCCAGGGGTGGTACTGTCCACAGTGGGCTGGGCCCTCCCATACCACTCAACAATCAAGAAAAGGCCCCACAGACATGGCCACAGACCAATCCAATGGAGGCAATTTCTCTACCCAGGTGTGTCAAGTTGACAATTAAAGCTGTCCAGAACACTAGAATTGCCACAGAGATGTGGCAACTGAAACAGTGGGATCTGTTCTTACCGTTCTGAAGGTATGAAGGTCTGATTTCTTCTGAGGCCCCTCTCTCTCTGTCTGACAGATAGCAGTTTGTTCTCCAGAGTTCTCACAGGGCTATCCCTTTGTACATTCATTTCCTCTTGGTACATAAGTCCTAGTGGATTAGTGCTTACCCACATGACACAGTCTGAAAGTCTTATTTCCAAATACAATCTCATTTTCAGTTGCCAGATTAGAACTTCAACATAAAAATAGCAGGGGGAGGACAAAAATCAGCCCAGAGAACATCTAAGTTGTTTAAAGCATCTAGCACCCTGCTTGGCACACAGTGGATACTCAATTACAGTCGCCACTTAGTAAGCGAAAAGCCAAAGAAAATAGTTCCTAAAAACATTAATGCTTCATGATGACACCAGGATGTTTTGGGGTTCTGATTTGAATTGCGGTGTCAGAGATCAAACTCAGGTGGTCCTGCACAAGCTAGACAAGAGCCCTACAGCTGGGCTTCATCCTCATCCTGAGATAAGGTCTATGATCTGACATACAGGATTGCTTGACTAATGAACTTCTGACTTGACTCCTTGAGAGAGCCGAGAGCCCTGTCAGGAATCCTAACAGGTCCAGGATGGAAGACAAAAGTTTACAATGTTTTCACCTACTAAGAGTCCAGGAGTGTGTGTAAAAACCTCTTTACATTCTCCCTATAGAGGTAAGGACAGGCTTTCTCTTGCAGTTATGAGGTTTTAAATGTAGGTGATGATACTTGCATACAAGTATTGGGACATCAGGAGGGAGACAAGTCCAAGAGTTTGGAGGATTAAAGATTTCACTAATTTCACAAGAGAGTTTACCCAGTCTTCCTCAAGTATCTCGTACATCCTCTATTAAATTCTAAATCTTATAGTGAGAAAATGGAGAGAAGACAGCCCAGACCCAGAAAGACAAACGCCACATTCTCTCATGTTTGTGGATCCTAGCTCCGAATCTTTGGATGTGAGTGACCCGAAGGAACCACAGAAGCCAGGACCATAGGGGAAATAGGGAGAGAGAGCTCTAGGTGGGGACAGTGGGACATAGGTGCTATCAAAGGGCGATGGGGAAAATGGGGAGACTTTACCTGTGGAGGAGGCAGGATAATAGAGGGAAGGAGGGGAGAGAAAATACCAAGGGTATCTGGAAAAGCCATAGGGAAACATTTTATAAGCTTACTGAAAAATACTCCCCCACACACACAGAACATCAATGGAGTTACACCATACAGAGTAATAATGCTCTCCCCAGGTGCCATAGACTATCAAAACCCCCAGTGCCAAGCATGGGTAACCTAGTGCCAGGCTTGGGAAACCTCCCTTCAAGTTGGTCTGAGGACTCCAAGGGCCTCCTCAAACAGTATGTTATTGCCATTGCCCCTGGTTACCTCTCTTGAAGACCCTACTGTGAAGACACCCCACACTTTAGACACAGGACTTGGAGGAATCAAGCTGGAACTGGCCTGGAAGCCTCCTCCCTGAGGAACAGGTCTCGAGTATCTGAAAGTACTATGCAAGATACCAAAGGGGAAAAGCAATAATTCCTCTTAGTGGTAAAGCCTATGAACCACAGCAATGACCAGCCTGGCAAAATATCCCTAATGGTTGCCACAGCAGCACTTTTATCTAATTAACAGCTGTCTAACTGGACATACAGCCCACTCAATAGGAGGTCTTCATTCCTGGTACTGTAAACCTAGCCAAGTGCCATGGCTGGAGAGGTCACCAACCCTAGAGGAGACCTGACTACTGCCACTTTCCTAAGCCAATATAGTTTCTAATTGTATTTGAAATACTTACCTTATACCCACAGGTAAGTGTAGCCCTCACCCTTCAAAAAAACGTTTTGCAACAGATGAAGACTATTACAGAGACCCATAACTAGTCAAAATGTAGAAAAATAAGTGACTGTGGGGTGTCCAGCCCAGTCGATACATCTATAACACAACTCCTATATGTAAGATTCAGGGAAAACCTCAGTAGAAGGGATGGAAAGGTTTTAAGAGCCAGAGGAGCAGGACACCGGCTGCTAGACAGGAAGCTGCACCCATGAAATCTCAACAATATGCTTGCCTGAACAAGACCTGCATAATGACAACAGTTGACAGGCCAATGTAATCGGACAGAGGAAATTTCACAAGGTCATAAGCCCTCGATGAAGAGCTACAGGCGATCAGCGGCTGTGAAGAGGGAACCAGCTTTCTCCAGGGAGTTATCCAATCCTAGTGTCAGCACTAAACACGTGCGCCTAAAAGTACCACCAAATGAACTCAGTAAGTTGTGTGTGTACAGAGACGCATGTGTGTGTGTATATATGTGTATATGTATATACACATGTAACAACAATAAAGAGGTCATGAAATTGAAAGAGTAAAAGAAAACAGGAGGAGTTGGCGGGGGAAGGGGTGGGAATATTGTGAATACAGTATTCATGTATGAAATTCTCAAAAAAAAATGGACATAGGGGCTGGAGAGATGGCTCAGTAGTTAAGAACACTGGCTGTTCTTGCAGAAGACCCAGGTTCGAATCCCAGCACCCACATGGCAGCTAATAACCATCCATAACTCCAGTTCCAGGGGATCCGACAGCCTCTTCTGTCCTCCACAGGCATTGCATGACATGGGTGCACTTACCTACATGCAGGCATAATACTCATACATATAAAATAAATTTTTTA